CTCCAATAGCATGCTTGGCCATGAAAAGCTAGATGTTTTGTGTGTGATCCTGTTCAATTAACATAATGTTTAGTAAGATCGCATTATGCTAATAAAATACATCCTTAGCAATTTAAATTTATTTTCTTTTGCTATGGGACACGTCTGTCCTCATGCCTAGAGTGTGCTTAGTTATTTTTTTTTACCAATTTAATGTACATGCTAATAAAAAAACATTTTGAAAAGCTAGATGTTTTGTGTGTGATGCTTTTGATCTGAGTGTCTTTCCAAATCATTGGTGCGGGTGACATCCAATTCATTGCTTAGAAAATAATCCTGTAGTTTTTACATTATGTGCCTTTCCACAGTGCTACTTAGGTTGATGCACTTTTAAGATGCTGTCATCATTTGGTTACCTCTCCATTTGTTGATGACTATAATATGATACTCATATTAACTTGCTCCTCAGTTATCTTTTAACTTATCAGTTATCTTTTAGTTATTGTTATGAACATAATTTACCTTCCAGACTTCTAATTTATTGTTCACTTTCTTTCACTTTGCTGCAGATTGCATTTTGGAAGAAAGCCAACCTGATTTTCCTTTTTTTCCTGCTTCGAAAGCTCATATTACCTTTCTACTCCTTCATGCTCTTCTGCATCATCCTCCCGATGACGATGTTTGTGCCTGAAGCCGAGCTTCCTGACTGGGTCGTGTGCTACATTCCTGCCCTGATGTCCTTGCTCAACATCCTACCTTCTCCGAAGTCATTCCCTTTCATCATCCCATACCTGCTCTTCGAGAACACCATGTCCGTGACAAAGTTCAACGCCATGATCTCCGGTCTGTTCCAGCTCGGAAGCGCATACGAGTGGGTGGTGACCAAGAAATCAGGCCGCTCATCAGAGGGCGATCTCATTTCCCTGGCCCCCAAGGAGCTGAAGCACCTAAAGACAGGCTCTGCACCGAACCTCGACGCGGTCGCAAAGGAGCAGCTGGCATCGAAGAAGGACGCGAAAAAGAAGCACAACCGGATATACAAGAAGGAGCTCGCGCTCTCGATGCTGCTCCTAACCGCGGCCGCCCGAAGCTTGCTCTCGAAGCAGGGTATACACTTCTACTTCCTCCTGTTCCAGGGCATCTCCTTCTTGTTAGTAGGCCTTGACCTCATAGGCGAGCAGGTCGAGTAAAATGTGTAAAACAGAAATTGATAGGTGTGGAAAACGGGGGGGTGCGGGGGGGGAGGGGACGGGAGGGGGGATGTGTTACTGGCTCACTGCCATGGACGTGGCAGCAGCCCTTGGCTGAGATTCGAAAGATATGCATTGTGCAGCTGTGCCTTCCGGATCTGTCCTGGCTGCACGTCATGATGACAACCCGGCTTGATGCGCTTCTTTTTTCATCCGGAACAGTATTTTTTTCTCATAAATTTCTCTAGCGTTCCTCCAAACCATCTAAATTCCTCCAAACGAACAGACCCATCCACACGTGAAGAGGAACCCTCCTCCGCCTCAGAGGTGTAGATACAGTTTCCTCGGCCTGTAAAATTTGCGTCGGGGCTCTTCGAGGCCCCCCTCCATTCTTTTGTAACAAATTTTTGGTGCTCATGTGTGGATCTGTCTCAAGGATGTAACAGCACACACTTGTTCGCCTGTACGATTGGTGAAGGCAAACAGAAGTGCCACTGGATTAGAAGACGTCCTGGTAAATGCTGCTGGACGCTGCTGATCTCTTGCTCTACTTGTGAAATTGAGAGTAGATCCAGATAGCTTGTCCATGTGTGTTTGTTGTACCTGTCCCCCCGCTTGGCGCTGGGGAAAGTTGGGAGTTGTCGAGCGCAGTGTCACATGATTGGAAGATCTGTGTCTCCTCCTTATGCCCATAATCACTGTGGATCAAGGTTCCAGCAGCTGGTCAAACTGGTTCTTTCTGTCGGGCAGAACATACTTTTTCTCTTACTGGACATGTAAAATTTGCTGGGCGTTTTTTTCCCCTTGCCCTCGAAGCAAATGTCAAGCAAAGAGAAGCTTCTGTAACACTGACGTTTTACCGAATACTTCTAGAAGACAACAATGTGCTTGCTACACCTGGCCAACTGATCTCATGGTCAAGAAATGTGTGGCCGAAGTCTGGACTAGGATTAAAATGGAACGTTTGTCTTCAGCTGCCAGGCATCAAGTGTGAAGCTATTTAAAAGTCTGTACGGTAGTAGTAGTCCATTTTTTATTTTTATTTTTTTGAAGAAAGGCACACTCATCCTTAGGTCAGGTGGGCTCCTCTGGAGCTGAGCTGTGAGTAACCGAGAGTCAGGTGGGCTACGTAGAAGTGGTGGCAACGCTTGACCCTTGCCGAGTCGCCCTGCCTTCGTCATGCCCATGCACCGCACGTCGCCGCGACTGCGGGACAGCTGGTGCCGTCTGCCGTGCCGAGGCATTTTCTCCTGGGTCGAGGACGAGCACAGTGAGCAGGCACGGTAGTACTTTCGTTTATATTTGATAATTATTATCTCAATCATAACCTAACTAGGCTCAAAAGATTCGTCTCGTAATTTATAATCAAACTGTGTAATTAATTATTTTTTTTATCTACATTTAATATTTCATGCATATATAAAAAATTTGATGTGATGAAAAGAAAGTAAAAAAAATTGCAATCTAAACAAGGCCAAGCGCGTTTCACATGACGGTTTGGTGCGGTCGTGGACGCTGGACGCGTGCGGTGGTGTGTGGCGGTGGTTGAGGCCCCTCCGCCGCCCGCAGAGAATAATAATGGGCGATCAAGTGCATCTCCCTTTGTCTGACGCAGTGACGCTGCTCGCGTTAGGGCCTTGTTTAGAAGCCATTCAAATTCTAAGTTTTTTTATTTTCTCTTCGTCACATCAATTTTTAGTCGTTTGCATGGAGTATTAAATATAGGTAAAAAAATAACTAATTACACAGTTTAGTTGGAAATCACGAGATGAATCTTTTGAGCCTAGTTGGTCTATGATTAGACAATATTTGTCAAATAAGACGAAAGTAGTACTATTCATCGGGTTGAAAAAATTTGCAAAGAGAACCAGGCGGCCTAGGAAATCGGAAGCCCTCGTCGTGCCGTACAAGCCAAGGGACTGGCGATTGCCCTGATCGGTCAGTGCTACGTGGGCTTGACCTCTTGCGATCATGGCGGACCGGACGCGAGCCATGATGGCCGCAGCCCAGCGATCTGGTAGAAGTGGCCGCTGTCAATAATGCATGGCCTCCCTGCAATAATGTCTTTGCCGGGTAGCACAATTTGCTCGGACGATGGTGACGTCATGCATTATTGCAGGGAGGCCCTGGACCTCGCCTGGGGCTGGGGGCGTTTCTCGGACTCGGTTCGTGACTTGTAATGAAATTTCGTATGGATTGGGTTTTTTTTTTCTCCTGACGACGTATGTACTCGTACGTGCTACAAATAGCATGGCGCGTGGATTGTATTGTATTTACGCCACCGACAGCGTGCAGTTCTTTTGTAAATAAAAGAAAATAACAGCACGCAGGCTGGCACGCAGGACAGTAAAAACGCACGGGTAGCGTGAGCGAAAGCAATAACTTGCTACTGTAAAAGACGCGCAGTTGACAGCGGGCAACACTCAGTACAAACCCGTATAAATATTTCACTGCACGATCTAAAGGATTCCAAGCTATAATAAAATGGCTGGCAGGTGGCAGCCCAGTCCAGCAATGCATATACGACAGTATAGTACGTACACCGTATCTGCGCGCGTAGCCACGACACGGCGACACCCACCAAATGACCCAAGTCACGAGTCAGAAGACTCAGAACTGAACATAAAATATAAAATCGCCCGGCACCAATAAATGCCACACGGGCTGGGCCTCGTGGTTAGCCTGTTCTGGCGCTAGTAGATGAAAATCAAGCCTAGCAGGCCCTCCACGAAACAGGCTGAACCTTTATGGGCCTATTGTGCCCGTCGTGTGGCGCACGGGCACGAAACTCCGTACGGTAGTTTGGTAACCGTCACGGTGCCCATGGAGCGTGTTGCGTGGAGTCTTTGGGCGAAGGAGACGGAACAACAGGAACAGGACTACAGGAGACATGCGGCTGCCGCGGTGCCGCCGGCATGCGGCATCCGGCATGCCGCCCACCCCACCCACCACCAGCAGCGCCGACCGCGCGTCGCTGTGAGCTAGGCCGCGTCCGCGTGTTTGGCGGGGGGGTCTGGCGCGCCGCGCGCTCGCTGAGATATGACCGGACGGAACGCGGACGCGGGGCAGTCCGGGCCCGGGAGGCGGGAGTAGGGACGAGGCGGCGGAGCGGACCCGGGCTTTCGGGCGGTGCGACGCCGGCCGCGCTTGCTGATTTCCCGGCAACCCGGCCAACACGCGCTGCGTCACCGAGACAGCGGAAAAGGACGGTGGGCCATGGCGCCGCCCGCTCTCCTCTGTCGTCCAGGTGTTGCAAGACGACAGGGACTCAGAGGGGGGGTACGCTGCACGCACGGGAACAGTGCGATCGGTCATCTTTCTCTTCCCGCGAGCCCAGTCTATCTAGCCGAGTAGCACGAGCACTGTATGAAAACTGAACCTCGACATCAGAGATCAAATCAAAAGCCGTCGCCGCCGGAGAGGGAAGGTAGAAGGCACTGCTACCACGACCCTAGCCTAGTTCATCCAAGTGAATTCCAGCACACTGATGAAGTTTAAACTTGGCATATTTTCGTAGTTTAGGTTAGGAGATCAACACTAACCGTCCTACTCCAAATCAGTGTGGCTATAGGAGGAACCAAGCTTCTGCTAGCCCCAACATTACAAAAAGAAACCTCCTCCAACGCAAATGGAGGAATCGCAAGAGGCCGAGCAGCCATGCATGGCGAGTTCTAGTTCCTGACATATGCTGATTAGACTACCGCTGCACTACACAACTAGTAAACCTTACCCAGCTAATAAGCATGCCCTAATCAAACCAAAAGAACCACAGTTTTTGCCTATCCACCTCCACGGCTCCACCGTACCCTTCTAAAAGCCATGGATGTTTGTTCATGCGTCGGTCCACGCGGTGAACATTGGCAGGTGCGCGATGGACACGCCGGGCCTGGCGGACGACACGGCCGACGGCGAGACCCAGGATCCCAGCGGCAGCGGGCAGGCCAGCCTGGGCACCGCCGCCGCGGGCTTGGCGAAGAACATAGCGAGGCCGCCATCGCCCCGGTGCGGGCTCTGCTCCCGGGAGTTGCTCACGCTGGGGGCCAGCGACGACGCGTTCGACGTGTGCGCGCTGGCGCTGCCGCCACCCGTCCCAGCAGCGTCCACGGACACGATGTCGTGCAGCAGAGAGAACGCCTCGCTCGACAGCAGGTCCTGGTGCTGTTGCTGCTGCTGGCCGCCGCCGCCGCCCCGCCCGACGGCAGCAGCCGGCAGCGCCGCTGCCTGGATCTTCGAGGTGTCCACCACGCAGCTGCCGCCGGCCTGCACCAACGCCGCGGCGGCGCCGCCGTCCTTCTTGCGCCGGACCTGCTCGCCCGGGAGCAGCGTGTTGCTCTCCATGATCTTCTCGACGTCGTACCGCGTGATGTCGAAGTTGGTGACGGCGTTGAGGCCCCGGAACTTGATGGCCGCCACGTCGTACGCCTCCGCCGCCTCCTCCTGCGTGCCTGCACAAAAACGTCTCCACCTTAACAGCCGCTTAAACACCAACAAGAGAGGCGCCAGGTGTGACAGCCATCGGAAATGCGCTTTTGGCCGAGCCAGCGGTCAAACGGGCAAAGCGCGAAAGCGACGCGATCGAGCGTGCGAACGCAAAGCCGAGCGCGGGCAGCCCCCGAGCCCGACCCCGACTGCGGCGGCGCCAGCCTTAGGAAAAGGAGGCCGGATGCATTCGCGAGGGCGAGACCACTGGGGCCGGCGAGGCGATGCATGCGCGAGCGAGAGAGCCACCACAAGCACGCAGAGGGCAAAACATTCTTTGGGGGAGGTGGGCCAGGGCATCGCAGAGAGCAGGGCATCATTGGCGATGCTCGCTCGGTTTTCGATCATTGTGACTGGACACCCTGCGTCCTTAAACCGTGACACACCTCTGCGACGGCAACGGATAGCCCGGCAGCGAGCAGTCGCACTGGTGATCATGATGCGTGATAGTAGATAGGAGTTGAGATTGCATTGCAGGCTTCTCTAGATGGATGGATGAGCCAACACTGATAACGACTTGGAAGCGTGAGAAGATGAAAGAACACATACTGAATGTTCCAAGGTAGAGGTCCTTGTTGCCGGAGACGCGGCCGATGCGCGCCTGCCACCGCCCGTGCTGGTGATGCCTGCGGGAAATACAACTAGCGTTTGTTTCAGTAAACCTTCTAGCACATACAACGAGCAAATAGACCGTGTAGTATTTCGCATTGATCCACACGTGATGAATGGCCGTGCACAAACCTGGTCACTCCACGGTAGATCGAAGCACCACGCGAGAACCCGCTGCTTTTCCTGCAACAAATGGCGATCGATTCGCTCCGTCACAATCTGTTCGAACAACTCAAACATCCATCAGAATTCAGAACAGGATTAGTACCTTCTTAGGTGAGCGACATACTCCTGCCTGGTCATGTTCTCCATGTCCTCAAGCTCCTCCCTGTAGTCCTCGATCTGAATCCGCGACAACAAGACCAATCAGCACACATTGTGAAGACACCATATTCAGACTATCGTTGTATATTCAGTTCATTACCGGGAAATTTACGTGTGTGGACTTCCCCCAGTACTTGAGCGCCGCCAGGTCATACGCCCTCGCGGCCTTCTCCTCCATGTCATACCCGCCTAAGCCAACCAGAAAACACAAGGAGACAAAATCTCAGACCTCTCTCGTTCATAAAGACACCTGAAACATGTGACCTGCCTACACACAGGATTACTGATCCTAGTGAGCAGTGATTAAATACGAAACGCACGTGCTTACCGAGATAAACTGCAGGGAGGCAGTGGCAGTAGTACGTCGTCCCAGAAGTTAACCAATCCCCATGGGCGAAGATTCAGCAGGGAGACACGGGAGTGCAGTTCATCAGGCTCTAGCACAGGGAGTTTACTACTACTACTCCTAGGTGACGGAGAGATGAAAGGCGTAGCTAGGCTGCCATGGCGGCAGTGGCGCGTACCTTGCCGGCCTTTCCGGGACTGGCCTTCCTTCCTGCAGCTGTTGTCCCAGAGGTGCGCCTCATACCTCCCCGTCCACCTATGCCTGCTTTTACACGGTGGAAACCACGCGGCCAGTGAGCGACTCGTGCGGGACGGGCGCCGCCGGATGGTGCGGGTGCGACAGCGACGACATCGGCCACGGCGTACGGACGGTCGGGAGAGGGGGACTGGGGATACCTGGTGACGCCGCGGTACTTGGACGTGCGCTGCCCAAATGTGTCGATGGACTTGCGGTGGACGACGGCCTGCTTCTGCCCCGCGCTGCCGCCTCCGCGCTTCTTGCTCCCGTCCATGACGACGTACTCGGTGACGGCGGCGGCGTGGGCACCGACTTGCATGGTGATGCTGCTGGACTGGGACCCCTTCCGGAGCTCTCATGGAGAGGGCCAGCGGGTGCGGGTGGCCCTGCAACGGCACGATGGCGCCGCCGCCGTTGACGTCGTAGCCGCCGCCGCTGCCGCGGGCTGAGTACCAGCTCGCCGCCGCCATTGCCGCAGCGGACTGCTCGTCCACCAGCTGGGCGTGCTGGCCGTACACTTCGTGCCCGCCCGAACTGGGGATCACCGCGCACTGCAGCGGCTGCAGGTAGCCGCCTTGGTCGTGGCCGTGGCCATGCGCGTGGTGGCCGTGACCGCCGCCGTAGTAGAAGCTGGAGCTGTCCAAGCTCAGCGCCATCGCGGTGCTCGCGCCCAAGAAATCCTCCAGCTTGGGCGATGTCGAGGACACCACCACCCCTGATCGATCACGAAACAAGAACTTGTCAGAGCCATCCAAGAAACATAGAAAAACAAACGTACGTACTAGTTTAGGAACCAACGAGCCAAGAACTCGACTGTAGCAAGTACGATCGAGCCAGTGGTCGGAAGATCTCATTGCCGACCTAGAAACAATGCCATTGAATCATTGGTTGAGGAGCTAGCTTATTACCGTGACGTTCTTGCTCGCTCCTATGGAGGGCCTCCACGAAGCACAGGGAGCCGTCGGAGTTGAGCGGCATAGAGGAGAGCCTGGGTAGAACCCCCGCTAGCATTGGCGGGACCATCTTGGCCGCCGCCGAGAGCGTAGCCGAAGGGCGCGGGCGAGGAGCAGACGACGGGAGGGTAGCAGAGGCCTCCGTGGTGCTGCTGCACCGGAACGCCGCTGGCGCCGTCGGCCGCGCAGTCCATGGTCGCCGCCATGTGAGGCAACAGCGAGAAGCCGAGCCAGTTGCCGCCGCCGCCGCCGCCGACCGCCGCGTCGCTTCCGCCGGTGCTGCAGCTGCTGATGTTCTGGCTGCTGTTGCTGGTCATTTTGGGGAGACAAGGCGGGCAGCCGGGCAGGAAAGGGAGGAGGGCGAGGACGAGGACGCGGAGGTGGTTGGAAGAAGAGACGATGAGAGATCAATCATTGGCGATTACATGCCGCAATGATGCCGCCACTCTCCATGGCTGAACAGGCTGCGCGCGTTTGAAGGGGGATGGGAGGGCTTCGGTTTGTGTGTGTGCACAACCTCCGTGCGAGGAGGGGGGCGACAGTAGTGTAAGCTAAGCTGAGCTAAGCTCTGGTCGCATGTGCGCGTGTGCGGAGGGGCGCGGAGGAAGAAGAGTGATCGACGAGGCCACGAGAATGTTGTGTGGGAATAGCTTTAAAGCGTGCAAAAGGAATGAGCTTGTGTCTCGGCTCGCATTTGACCCACACGCAGGAAGGAAGAAGGGGAGCAATGTTGGTCGGAGACGTAATTACTGTACTATCCGTGTTGTTTGATACCGCAATTGCCACGTGGCATGTAGGTAGGGGCCGGTTTTTTTTGACGCGTGTTGTTAGAGCAGCTCTAGTGTGCATGAAAACCAAATTATATATAGGGTTTGTCTGGTACGTTTTGGTTTCGACCTCAACAGCAGCTTCCATAGGCGAGCCGAAGAAACTGTACCAAACACCTTAGAAAGAAAAGAAGAAATATTTTTCTTTTTCTTTTTCTTTTTTTCTTTTTATTTTTTATATTCAAGCGGAGTTAGCCGTTTTTTAACTGGGCCTATTCTGCTTTGGAGCATCGGAGAGAGAAGCCATGTCAAACAGACGCAGAGAAATAGAAGCAATACAAAATTTAGTTGGAATTATACACTAGTCACGAAACGGAAAGATTCCTCACGTCAAATCAAACGGACGAGTTGAACTGTGGGAATAAAATGATCGACGTAGCAAAAACTTACCTTCTACTCCGTAGAAAAACTCCAATGTCAACAACACAGATTCCATGCCCGTGGCTATAAAAAAGACATGCGAAGCAACAACAAAGCACCGATGATGGTTGATGTTCGGTGAAACGTTGAAACCTCATAAGATCAAGATCCCTTGGAGTGTTAATTATGGATGGAGATGAGCTAGCGGGAGCGTAGGTAGAGGCGGAATGAGTTTTGTTAGGTGGTCAGGGAACCCCTCAATCCCGACTAAGAGCATCTCCATGAGTTCTTTATTTTTTTCTCCTAAAAACTTATAGTTTGACAACTCCTAAAAAGATTTACGGAGGAAAAAAAAGGCCATCTCCAAAAGTTTCTAATAAATAGCATCTAAAAACATCTGCGTACGTCGCACAAGACAGTGAGCAGTGAGTGAGTGTGTCAGATGGTATATATGCACGTCCGCCTGAACTGTAATCAGAAGAGTTTTCCGGCGTAGTCCTTGATGTCGTCATCCTTCACCGACGCCGACACTGACGCCATCCTTCTGAACTGCCGGAGCTCTGCCGCGTCGCGGCCCACAGCAGGGCGACCTTGGTCCGGAACACCTCCCCGTTCTCCCATCGCTCCACGTCGGCGTCCCCTAGGGCGGCCTCGATGTCCTCCTGCACCTTGCGGTAGAACCCGGCGCAGTTGCGCAGCAGCTCAAACAGCATGCCCAGCTGCGTGCCGTGCTCCACCGTGTTCACTGCCGCTTCCAGTGCGCCGCACGCCGCCGCGGCGCCGGACACCCACGTGCCGTCGCCGGTCCCGATGAAGGCCGCAACCACCGCGGCGGTGCCGGCCAGCGCGGGCCCCGCCACGGCGAGGCCGCGGTTGATGGACAGCACCAGCTTCCCCACCGTTAGGTACTGGTGCACGTCCTTGGCACGGAGCACGCGCATCTCCTCCTCCAGCTCCTGGCTCCACCCGTTGGAGGTGGTGCAGACGCCGCGGCGACCGAAGCTCCTGGACCGGGTGGTGGTGCTATTGCTCTTCGGCTGTTGCTGCGGGCGGCGGCACGGCCACCACCGCGCGGGCTCCACGGCCTTGGGGAACTTCTCCAGCATCGCCGAGGGAAGGATACGGTGCGCATAAAGTTACGCGGATTGGCTCGGTTTTTCCGAAGTGCCTAAATTTTAGGAGTTAAGATTAGGAGTTGTTGAAGATAGGTTTAAAAAATAAGGATTAGGAGGGAGTTTAAGAAACTCTTAGAGATGCTCTAACCCCCATAGAATGAGGAATAACCGAACAAGGCTTAAGGGGTTCTGTTGATATAGCAATGACCGAGCTTAGATTATCCGTGGCACAGAGGCGGCGGGAGGGGTATTCCTAAATATATTCATTGGAATAACCCTGATTTTGGTAACAGCAGATAAATATGTACTCCCTCTGTCCCTAAATAACTGTCGTCGTTGGTGTGCCTGCCGCAAGTTTGACTCGATTTGTAGAAAATGCGTGCAACATTTGTATCTCTAAATAAATTTGTTAAAAAACTAGATTCAAAGATCTTTCTAATGATACTAATTATGTATCTTAAATATTAATATTTTAATATATATTTAGTCAAAGTTGTTTTCCAGGAAGCGAAAACGACATATATTTAGGAACAGAGGGAGTACGTGTTAAGTATTAGCATATTTGCCTCGCACTGGAAAGAAAATTCCGAAGGCAGAGAAAATGGCTTCCACATCCACACCGAATACTCCTCCTTATTATAGACTTATGATCCTATGGATTGTTGCATATTTACAATGTACAATTTTATTTGTATGGAATACCTTGATCGAGGTAATATCCGGGCTCTGCCACTGCTGTGGCGGCACTTATTTTCGGTTCATTCTAGCTGTTCTTAGATCCTTATGAGCTAATGGCTAGCTGTTAAAATTAGCTTTAGTGGATTCAAAAAACTTCGCTAATGGCACAACTAATACCTTAAACTACTCCCTCTGTCTGAAAATAAATCATTTCTTCGAAACACCACAAGTCAATCTATTTCAAATTTGAGCAGTTTTATAGAAAAGGGCAGCAACATCTATGACATCAAATAAGTACATTATAAAAATACATTTGATGACTTAAGACAACTATAAGAATTGATTTAATTTGAGACAAAGGGAGTATGTAGCTAATAAAAAAGACATGAGCTAACTCTTACTAGCTAAGTACTGCCACCTCAGGTTGAAAACGGACGGGATAATTTCTGACCCGACCCACCCGGATTTCTACATTTGACCGCCCGTTTCCGTATTATCGGAAAAATCCAGAAACGGGACGGGACGCGGGATGGAAGTCGGCGGGATCAGGATGGAAACGGGATATCTCTTTTTCCGCCCGTTTTCTCGGGTTCCCGTATTTAGGCAGAAAAGACCCGGATTTGACCCGGATTCTTCAAATACGGGTGAAGCCCAATAACAGTAGTAAAGGCCCATCCAGCCCAAAACTTCTAACCCTACCTCTCCTCACTCCTGTCTCGACTCTCGAGTCTCCTCACGGCCACCACCCCGACCCCCGCTGTGGCCTGAGCCTTGAGTACCCGACACACGCCCCCAACGACCCAGGCCACCACCACCGGGCCGATCCTCATGACCCCCATGACAAGCCCGTCCCCCAAGGCCCATCATGATCGTTCCCCGCCCCCCGCCGCCCGACGGTTGCCTCCTCCTCCTGATGTCGCGTGACTCGTGTCCTGGAGGCGCTGGAGCTGGACATCTCGGGTCCACCTCCATGCCGCCTGAGAAATACTTGGGGCTGGGCACCATGTTCCTGCCGGTGCCACCACCGCCACCATCTCCTGTCAAAGGCAGCACCAGTGGATCCGGATCCATTTCAGCAGCAGCAGGTATGTCTCTCACAGTCTCACTTAGTCACTTGTTGAGATGTCAGACTCAGTTGCACACAAATAGACTCAAGTTGCATACTTGCATTATTGTTGATTTTTTTTTCATAGGCAACAAGAGGAAAGCGAGTGAAGTTGGCAGTTAGAATCAGAGTGTACCACACAGTGTATTAGCCTCATCTTCAGCAACAAAGAATGCAGATCAAGTGGTCGTCACTAGCACTGGTGGTGGCAGTGGACCTGGAACTGAAGTTGATGGGGGTAACACTAACCCTAGTACCCAAGAACCAGGTGCTGTTGCTGCTGTAGATATAGTGGCCCTTGATGGTGACGACGATGAAGAGAAGGTTGTGGGGTCATCAAAGAGGGCGAAGAGGTGCACCTCTACTGTGTGAAAGTATTTCACCAAGCGCACTATTGTCATAGAGGAGGGTGGCAAGAAGTATGAGCAGCTGTGGGGCCATTGCAATTTCCCACATTGCAAGCATAAGTACAGGGCTGAGTCCAACAATGGAACAAATGCATTTCGTAATCATTTGAAGTCATGTCATAGTATTGTCAAAGGACAGATGCAACTCAGGGCTGAAAAAGACCTTGGGAAAGATGTTAGCACTGTTGTTCCTTACATATATGATTATGAGACAAGTCTCAAGAAGTTCTATTTAGCAGTAATCATTCATGAGTACTGAAAGCTCTAGTTTGGTTTTGGTGAATTGATGAAACCCTAAGTACTAACCTAGTTTATCAAGTGATCATGAGATAGGTAGCACATTCCAAGTGATGAAGCAAATGAAGATCATGACATGATGATAGTGATGCCATTGTGATGATCAAGTGCTTGGACTTGAAAAGAAGAAAGAGAAAAACAAAGGGCTCAAGGCAAAGGTATAAGTGGTAGGAGCCATTTTGTTTTAGTGATCGAGACACTTAGAGAGTGAGATCACATTTAGGATCGATAGCCGTACTATTAAGAGGGGTGAAACTCGTATCAAAATACGGTTATCAAAGTGCCACTAAATACTCTAACTCATTGCATATGCATTTAGGATCTAGTGAAGTGATGATGAACATGATAATGAAAATGATAGTGATAGTAATGATGATGAACCTACTAAAGATGAATTATTTGACATGCTAGAAGATGCTAAAGAACACTTTGACATTAAGAGAAGGGAATGCAAGAGCTTGAATAAGGAGGTAAAAGCCCTTAAGCAAGCCCTTAATGAGCTCAATGCATCTCATGAGAGGCTAGAGGAAGCCCATGAGAAGCTTAGCAAGGCTCACAAAAATCTTGAACAGGCTCTGTCGATGTTTTGGACCGGCGGGTCCTCAACCAACGAGTGAAAACATACTACGTGTCCCTATCCCGGATGGTGATACAAAGAGACACAAAGTTTATACTAGTTCAGGCAATAGGTGACCTACGTCCAGTCTGAGAGAGCGATCTTGTATTCCTTACACCGAAGTGCTTGTAGTAGGGATTTACAAGCAAGGCGAGAGAGGGGGTTAGTCCTAGGTCTCTGCGTGGAGCGACGTGGGTTACTTGAGATGTTGATCTCTCGTAGTGAGGAGCGTGTGTATTACAGAGTGTTACTCGTTGCTTGCGCGTGTGTCTATCTGAGCGATGTCTCCGTGAGTGTGTGTGTGCGCGCTCGTCGGGTGTCTCTCCTTGTCCTAGAAATGGCCCCGGTCGCCCCCTTTTATAGTTGAAGGAAAGGATAGGGGCGGTACATGCGTTTGCTACGTGGTGCGTGGTGTGAGCGAAGGCGGCGTGCCGAGCCCTGTAGCTCGTTACTACGGCGGTATGGTGGATGGACTGGTCTTCTCCTTGGTACTCTAGAGCGACGCACCGGTCACGCCTGGCCCTGTGCGACGTGGGAGCTCCTGTGGTGGCAGGTGCGTTGGAAGCATGCTGGTTGCTGTACGTTGGACCGGCGCGGAGTGCCGAGGACGGGTTGATGCGATGGCGCGGGTGTGCTGACTCCGAGGATATAGGAGCTCAGCCCTGTACGCGACGTGGGAGCTCCTGCAGCCTGACGCAGGGTATGGCGTGTTCCGCGGGCGACGTGCTGCTACCAGAGTGTTGACAACGTAGAGAGCCGAGGCCCAGTTGATGCAGAGGCCGGGCCGTCATGGGGGGCTCGGCAGGCACGAGTCCTGAGACTACGGGAGCGAGGAAGCGATTTGCCGAGGCTCGGAGGGAGCAGTTGGTTTTTTATGCTGATTCCGAGGCTACAGGGGCCCAGACATGACTCTCCACGCCACACTGTCGTCGGAGCCGGTGGGGTTAGGTAGCACAGTGCCACATGGGTGTCAGTCGTGGGCACAGCGTCGGGTACAGCGGCTGGTAACCCCTGCCCCGTCCTGTCCCGGACTGCATGGCGCCGATGTGACTCCCATCTCGTCGGCCACTCCGCTGTACCACGCCGGAGTGTGGCACTCTGTCAGGGTGGTCGGTTAAAGCTATGGCGGGACTGATGCCGAGCCGGCCTTGAGCGAGACGGAGAATTGGTACCTTGCTCGAGGCCTTTCGGGTGGGGCCTCGGGCGAGGGGTCTCGGGCGAGGCGGAGAGTTGGTAGCTCGTCCGAGGCCTTGCGGCGTGGGCCTCGGGCAAACTGGAGAATCTGACGAGGCCTTGCGGCGTGAGCCTCGGGCGAATCAGAGAATCGGCCAAGGCCCGCGTGGTTGTCTCTTGGCTTTGGTTTTTACAAGGTCTAAGCAATTTTTTCGGTTCTTGCTTAGGGTACCCCTTTCTATGGTATCCGACAGGCTCATTCCTCTTTGCTTGATGAGCAAAATAAAACGAAGCATGCAAAGACTTGCAATATTGGCTTAACTTATGATATAATTGATGAATCATTATCTTTGCCTACCATTGTTGCTCCCGCTAACCCTTCTTATAGTACTTCTACTTTCACGTCATCTAGTAGTGATGGTTTCACTTGTGATGCCTCACTAATGGTTGAGAATGAGAACCTCAAGAAGAAGGTCAATAAGCTCACTCACACCTTGGCTAAGGCCTATGGTGGTGAGAACCGCTTGCTTATGTGCTTGGGTAGCCAAAGAGTTTCTCTCTACAAAGAGGGATTGGGCTATACCCCCAAGAAAGGCAAGGCGGCCTTTGCTCCTCACAAAACTAGTTTTGTAAAGAACAATGGTCGGTTTTGCACTAGTTGCAAACAAATTGGTCATAAAGAGCATGAGTGCAAGAACAAGAGTAAAAAAGCTAA